CACATCATTAAATTGTCATCCTTGCATTAGAATATAGACCAGTCAATACTGATGGTATCTCATTGCTGCGTCATATGTTTTTAAATTACTACACACTGAATATTGAACTGAAGCTTGACATTTAAAAAAATAAATCGCAAATCAAATCGTACTCGCAATTTCTGTCAGAAAAATCCCGATTCGATGTTTTCCCCAAATCGTGCAGCCCTAATTTGTAAGCATTGAAAAATCATGTTTACTCAATTAAATGGGGGAATTGAATTTCACAGTAAATTATACTGTGATTTGAAAATTCAGTCTTGCAGATGATTTGCTTATGTAAGACTAGTTTCTGTAATTAAACCATACTATCCTGTAACTGTAACTTTAATGGTTTAATGGATGTTCTGTACCTGTAGTGTGATGAGAAACTGGGAGATATTTTTCAGAGTGCTTGGGCTGGAGGTCATTTCAGTTAAGTTGAAACAGGAAGTTCTCCAAGCCTCCAGCAAAACTTATTTTAGTACAGTTTAACAAAAAAATTGTGTGCATATTCTTCCTGTGACCATCAGCAATGCTTTATAAATCGGACAATGACATCAAGTGACTTTCAAAAAGAATGGGAAACATTAAATGGTGTGAAGAGGACTGCTAGGACAATTCATAATAGGCTCCTAGAAGCAGGACTGAGTCCCATAAAGCTAGGCATTAATGAGAGACAGGGAACAGCCAGGTTGGACTTAACCAAATGAATTAATTAATGCTGGAAAAGGTCAGCATGAGGAAACTCAGCATTAAAAACATATATTTTACACAGAAGCATACCCATAAATTGAGTGAAACTAAAAATTCTGCTGTGGTCTCTAAATTTTTTCCAGAGCTTTACCTTCCTTCAAAATAACTTTTAATTGCTGTTACTTTTCCGGTGAGAGCCAGCTTGTCAGTGAAGGGCATCCACCTGCAGTGGTGCCTGTGGAACCTGGTTGGGTTAAGGGCCTCGCTCAAGGGCCCACAGATATGTGACTATTCTGCAGAAGCCAGGCCTGACCCAATGACCTTTCAATCACAGGCACAGACGCTTAACCTGCTGGGCCACATGCTGCCCCCAATAAAAAAGACAATTGAGGTTTCACACCTCTACCTCCCTCACACATGAACCTGTTAATAGAAAATGAATGTTACACATCTGGTGAGATCATGCCGAAGACCAGCTTGGAAAAAGCAACATGGCAGAGTTTTCATTCATTTACCAGGATCTTGATTTAATTAGTGACTGGGCCGATACCTGGCAGATGAAATTTA